TAAGAATGCACTTCCGAAGAAGGGGAATGGAAAATCTGGTATTGCAATTCTAAGACTGTCAAGTGCGACCTACAAATTGCATGAATAATCATTAACTGAATGTACAATCAATACTATTAACTAAGTCTTAATCCCTAACTAGTTGGCTCATGATATGATTCCTCTATTTTTCTGCTCTTTAGAGATTGGTAAACATCAGCAAAAAGATTGCTGACATATGGATCCTTTGCTTCCATAGCCAACTATATGCAGTGTTGTCAAAGGCGAATAGAGTTAAAAAGAGCTCCAAGTCTATTGGGGCTTTAAGCGCAAAGCGCAATTAAAGTGTGGACATTAGTTAAAAAGGCGCAACGAAGAAAAAAATAAAAACATATTTGTAATACAAGGATATCTTTTGTCAATCATATTTATTGCTTAGTATCGCTTCATTCAAGATAGTTACTATGGGCAATGAGGTGCACGCCTTAGTGTCTTGTCTACACTAAAGCACGCCTAAGTGACGCGAAGCTCCTGCCTCGAACTTCTCTGAGCTTCAGGGCTTAAGTGCGCCTCAAATGGGCTTTTGACAACACGGACTATATGCGCAAATGTAAAAAAGTTACTATAACAGAATATTGAAGAATTGGCGAAAAAATTTGGGGTCCTTTTTTTAGGATTCCCCCAAAAGTGAAAGAGTTGACCGATGACAGAACTTAAAGGGAAGCCATATTCAACACTGGGAACGTTGTTAGTGAGGTCAGCACGTCAACTGCAGGTAGTGACTACTGACCACATATATCTTCGCAGTTTGATATTACTGCCTCCTTATTTTGTAAACTATTTGTATAGTTACTTGGGTAGACTTTCAGAAGTTACTTTGGTGTAGATATAGACATTTAGGGTGCTTTAAATGAATTTTCTAAAGGCCGTCATCTGCTAAGCACTGGTCGTTTAGATGTTCATGCTCACACTAGGCTTGTTCAGTAGGAGAAGTCATTTCTGAATGTCTCTTGGTTGGTTTAAGTAACCTATCCTACTCATTAAACTCGATATCTAGCTTAAACATGGAACATTAGACCATATTCGGTACTACTATCTTGAGCTGCAGATTCTGTTCCTAGAACTTGCTTTGTTCAAGACCAGCAAGTTCTTCCTTCTTTCAGGGTCTAGGATTGGAAAAGCCCCTACACTGTCCTCTTTTCTCCAGTTCTCCTTTCTCTGTACATATATTCGAAGTACTTTGCACTATGCAAGGCTGATTTTTCCTGAAACCTATCATGTTTGTCTGTTGTTTACAAAAGTTTTGTAGCATGAGCAAATTCAAGTTGGTCGAAAAGCACTCAGGTCTGCTTGCTGTAAATCCATCTTTCCTGGTTTGGAAGCTGTATTGAAGCCTCCCCCTACCCAAGCCCCCCACAATCCAAAAAAAGAAACATTAAGTGTTGGTTTCATTGAAGGTAGCTTCACATTTATCAATTGGAGTTTCATGTTACTCATGCTGGTAGCTGGGAGTTCTTGTTTGCCTTATTTTTCCTTGGATTTAGTTAAAAACTTGCATGGCAGCGAGGAACTTCTTTTAGGTGGTTAGACTTTTATATCTGATGGAGCTTTAGATTGGATTCAGTTTGTTTAGAGAATGCTGATTTGTTGGTGCTTGCCTAGAAAACCATCTACTTGTAGAACTATAAATATGATGTAGCTACCCGACAGAATGCTTACACCTTCGGAGGTATTAAGCATAATTAATTGGTTATCGAGGTTACTCGAATTCAAAACATCACGGAAACCTTCAGCTGAACACATGGGGAGAACAAGATAACTGTTGCTGGAGGGAGAAATGAATGGCAGATTTTGTGTTGGTCTATTTATTATTTTGCAACGTATTAAATAGAAAAGGAAAAAATTTCTACAACAGTACTCCTAAAGCATCATGGAAACTAGAGCTTCTTGTTTGTTATTCGGTTAGTCTTTATGAAGTTTGCTGACTTTGGGGGCTGCAGATGTTTTAAAGTTCACAAGCAGTTTTCTTTTTGCCTTTTCTATATTGCTTTCCTCGATATCAATGTTATGAGACACCATTTTGTTTCTTATAGCTTGCTTCCTAGCTTGTTTATGTTTGCCCCAATGACCCCTCCACTACTGCAGGTTGGGGTGGAGTTGGGCGGTGTAGTGGTCGACGAGGACATCAAGACTATTGCTGATCTTGATCTATGATGATTGCAGATATTGCAAACTTCTAATAGATTGACACGATTCAGTAAACGTCTTGTCAACAGAAGCATACGCCAATGAAGGCATAGCTTCTGTGGTCCTCAATTGATGGCTGAATTCCGTGTTATTCGTTTCAGCTGTTGCAAAAGGAGGTTGGTGCATAGGTATGAACTCTTAGTACAAGCAGCCTTTTGCCATTTGTTTGGTGCAGGGCTTAGTTCCATAGTGCTGTTTATCTAATTCCCAGCAGCCCCATTTTTCTCCTCTAGATTCATCACCCTACAAAGTGCTCAATAAGGTGGGCTATTTGTGAACCAAAAACAGTGACATCAGGAATCTTCTTTAATCAAAACTTCATGAACTCAGGCAAATCATGGTTTGGCTTCCCTTTTTATTCTCAAGAACTCTCCTTTTGCCTTCTTTAAGTTGGAAATCTTGGAGTCTGCTTGTCTAGTTTGAATCGGGTCAAATGCACAGATAGTCATTCTCAGGGATTGTTAGCCTATGTTTTGAGTGTACAAATGATCATGTCGGCCTTATAGGCCCGTACGTCACATGTATAAGTTTCTATATCATGTTGGGCCGTCCTATGTCTAGTATTCCCTTATGTTTTATTCTGGTTATCTCATGACGGCCCTTCTGGTCCATTACCCATGATGGTATTATGTTGGTACTCGGTTGGGTAAGGCACCGGGTGCCCGTCGCGGCCCATCGGTTTGGGTTGTGACAAAAGTGGTATCACTATTTAGAAATTAACCAGTACTTATTTTGAACTAAAAATCTTAACTGTAGGATAATTCAGGACATTTTTGTCCCTAAAAGTTGAACTGAAAACCTGAAATTCTGCACACCGGAAAAGTTGAATTCTGGACACACTGACTAATTCTTAAATAGCAGTCCGTTAAAGTGGTTGCTTGGTGTCATTTGCACGTTTGAATCTAGTATCTTTACTTTTTTGATAGCCGTTTCGAACCAGCTTACACGATTATTTTATCGTATCTACTATCTTCCACCCATATAGGTACCATAACTGCATCATCCTAGCAAGAGACAAGAAGAGCAAACTAAAATTAAAAAAACACAGTTTCAGATATATCATTTCTGAGTTATGCAAAAAGTTTTTAAAAAAAAAAAAATTCTCATGGAAATTATGAACCAATCAAGTTGGAATAGGTCCAAATCTTTTCTCTTGCGGCCTTAATGCATCCCAGGTACCAACAGATATAAGATTCTTATTTTAATATATATCCGTGGATAATATTATTCCACTATAGATGATCAAAGTACTAAGCTGACACTTAAAAAGAGTATTAAATAGTATATTGTACCGACATAGAATGATGAAAGTAAATAAAGAGATTTAATTACTCAAATTATACTCAAGTAGAATCCAATCACTAGATTAATGGGCACGTGTTAACACACACACACCACGCTAACTTCACTTCTCAGTCTCAAGGAAACACAAGATCCCCACACTTTAATTTGCTTTTGCAAGTCAGAATCCTATTTATCTGTTTATGTCATTAATTAAGCAGCTTAGAAATTGTAAAGAAACATAAAAAGATTTGCACTTTTTATCTTTTCCTTTTGTATATAATTTTAAAAACTGATAAAACCACCCTAACCCCCAGCCTTTACCTTTTCTTCTGTTATATAGACGGAAATCGTAGTAATTTACAAGCAAAGTCTTTTTTTTTTTGGACGCATTCGACGTGTTTAAAACGTTTAAAAGTTTTATAAACTATAATAATAAAATAATATATTTTTTAAATTAATCGAAGTGTTTCCCACATCAAATCTCATTAACCATAGAACTAGTGAACAAGTGATCAGTACGAAATCTTTCGTCGTTTCACTTTCAAAACCCAATTGCTCATGGTTTGGCTACCAGAATCTGTTGTAAAGGCGAGAACAAACTGCTTTAAAATTGGGTATCTGCACTTTTTTAAGGTTTTCATAACCAATTCTGTACAAGGGAACAAAATACGAGCACTTTATGATGAAAGACAACAAGAGAATCAAGTGTATATCTCATGAAAAAATTTCTGCTGGGAGTATCAAGTATATTAACTTTTTGGGACATGCTATATGATATAGTAATATTAATTTGTTCTTTCTATATTGATTCCTTTTTTTTTTCTTTTAATTTTAGAGTGTCTAGAATTTCTTATACTTTTTCAAGCTAACATTAAGGTGTTATTTAAGTTATATAGAGGTAATAAGCATTCTGCAACTCTTTATTAAGAAGAAATAATAGGAAAAAGAGCCCACCCATTAATTATTCCCCTTGGGATTAAGTTATACAATATTGAGTAAAAGATTTATATTATCAGTGTAGTTTAATTGTGAGAACAAGGTTAGTTAAATAGAGGTTCATTCTTACCATAGTATTAGTTAATTGTTGGGATTAAGCTAATATAAGGTGTTTCTCTTATTATAGAATGCTAACTTGCTATGTTCAGTACTGTTTAAGCTTCCAACTAGTGACATGAGCTAAAGTGCATGAACCATGCAATGGTGTTAAATGGGAGTTATCCACGTGACATTCTCCCTCAATTCCTATATGGTTGACCTCTGTACTATAATAACATATATATCTATCTTCAACATGTACAATTACACGTCAATATATATATATATATATATATATATATATATATATATATATATATATATATATATATATATATATATATATATATANATATATATATAAAAGATGTCGAAAAATGAAGAAAATAAAGGAATTTCCCAGCCGTAAACGTAATACAAAGATGCAGGGACATGAATCATGCTACTTCAAGAATATATTAGGATGAGCTCACATTTCTACACTTGGCAAAAAAGAAATAGTATATCAATTCCTTTCTTATACTATATAAGACTTCATTCCTTTTAACATTTTCCATCCAAAAGTTTTTAACTCATTATCATCAAGAAAGAGAGAGAGATAGAGGGAGAAACAAAGAAAATGGATTCAAGAACTGTTGCCCAAAAATCGTCCTCTCCTTTATCAAGCAGCAGCAATGGCTTTCAAGCAATTATAATGGCTCTAATACTAACTGTTACAATTGGGTATTTTCTCCTTTTGATCGTAACACCAACCAATATGTATAGACAGATATGGACACCCATGATCAAAGCTCAGACTGCTACATCCACTTACTTTGGAGCTCAAGGTATCTTACTTTTTTTTTCTTTTAATATATATACTAATAATGTAATTTTTTTTTGGATGTCAGTGTAACTTGTAATAGTGTAATTACAGGTTACAACATAAGTATTACTATTTAGTTTTGTTTTCAGATTATCAAATCAGAGTTGTTATAGATAGTTGCTTCTTGTTGTTGTTGATAATTTAATTTGATGATTTTAAATAATTACACCATTATTATTTAAAAGAGCTTGCTTTAATTCTTTTGGATGAAGATAGAAATGAAACTTTCTCAAAAAAATAATTAATTCATTTATTTGAAGAACTTATCAGTTCAAGTGCAATTTTTTATACAGGGAGGACACTGTTGATGAACACATTTCCTTTCATATTTATTGCTGTCTTGGGATGTGTATACCTTCATTTATGGAAGAAATCCAATGATAAAAACATCAACAGGTATGCACCC